ACATGAGCTAAAATGTTTCAAACACTCGGGGAAATTAAATAGCTGATACTGACCAGTTGTTCCAGGAAACACTTTTCACCCATTTGTCTGATGGTTGGAACCAGGTCCACAAAAGAAGCAACACTCTGATTAAGTGGCTCTGGTAGTTTGGGTCTGAACTGGTGGCCCAAGGTGAGAAGGTGATGTGCAATATACATACAGTTGTTATGGTGTAGCGCTGACAATTGAGGTAAAGTTCTCTGTAAGATAGTGAAACAAAGGATGATAGGTTAGGTCATAGGGATTTGAGGAGCCACTTGGTACTGCAGCAACCCTTGCTTCTGCAGCCGAAGTGACTTGGACTACTTATACTCCCTAAATCTGTGATGCACTAGCTAGTATCCAGTTTGCGAGTAACCACACTCCTGTGTCAGCTACATTTTATTTTGAGGCCAGGAGGAGACCTTTTTACTCACCAAGTGCTGTTGATGATATGTGGGTACAACATTACAGTATAACTCAAACATGTTACGAACACTGTAGAATAGCTGAATAGCACTGGCAAGATACAAAAAAATCAATGAAAAAACAAACGTTAGAAGGAGTAGACAGATTAAGTTTAAAGGCAGTGAAAAGAAAATTCATTGAACTTTTTTGTTGATATTGCTGAAATTGACAAACATACCACTGTGGAGTTGACTGTGTTGCTTCAATAAGAGTTTCATAAGCAAGATTCATTAATTTTTCTGTGCTCTCACTAATGCGGCAGCTTGGGAGGCAAAATGTGAACTTGCTGACGGTGTTGGCTGGGTCTCCATGTAATGGTTCATGCTGGAAAATAGTGAGCCAAAGGGAAAAAATTATTCATTTGATTAATGATTTGTGTATTTCATTGTGTAATGCAAGCTACATGTGCTTAACTGTCATCATCTCTTTTCCTTTCATTAAGACACAAACAATTGAAATGGCCATTTTAGAATGTTTCCTTGGGAATATCTTGTATATTGCTTGATTTCAAGCTGAAAAGGACTAGATACAAGTCTGTAAATTATGGGATAAGCAACTATTGATCCACATAGTCAGAAAGAGCACACCGAGATTCACAAAATCTCCAAGTTTGGTGTTAAACAGGCTAGTTTTGACTGAGATACAGCCATTTAAAAACGTCAAAATTAACAAAGAAATGTTTGGTCGTCCGAATGGCCATACATTTCTTTGTAAATTTTGACGTTTTCAAATGAGTGTATCTTGCTTACTATGGGGTCTATTTACACCAAACTTGGGGATTTTGTAAAGCTTGGTCTGCACTTAATGATTATGTGGATCAATAGTTGCTAATCCCATTATTTACAGACTCACACCTAGTCCTTTTCAGCTTGAAATCGGGCAATGTTGATCAGTGACACAAGAACTGGTTCATATTTACCTTAACTCCTTTCTTGTTTTCTGATAATGCTTTCTGTATATCTCCCAGACTTAAAAGAACTGCTCTGTCTTTGCCGCTGTCCACCAATACTGTGTTGTGTATGTCATCTTTCATCAAATCACGGGCAGTTACAAGAAGATCTTGACACTAACAAAGTACATGAAACGACTCAGAGACTGGACAGCTAGCTGAATCTTAATAAGTGTTTCTTCTAGATGTACTAGTTATCACTTGTGCCAAACTTTAGATCAGAAAATTGAACATTAATTTCTGTTTAACCAAGTGCTGTTCAAGAAGGAGGATTTAGGAAGGAATACAAGGCTTTTAAAATAAAAGCAGCAAGTGAACTGTAATAATGAAGTACCTTTTTGTTTCCAAAGTGAATACCAACATCTTTTACATATGAGGTCAGATCATTTGTTCCTTCTGAGATTAAACCTACGTATTCATAGCATGAAATGGACACCATTTAATAGGTAACATAACAGATACATCAGAGTACTCCAGTTTATATTGTGCAATTATGCATGCATTTAGCTTGACTCATGGTTATCTTCATACTGCTGGAGGGTACACAACATTTTAGCACAGGACAAAAGGGTTATAAGGGTTGTACGAGTATTTATAAGGGTATAAGGGGTATATTAAGGGGTATAAGGGTTTAAGGGTATAAGGGTATAAGGGTTTAAGGGGTATAGGTTTTAAGGGTATTAGGGTATAAGAAAGGTGAAGGCCATTTTTTCCAGTAATGTCTAAATTGGAATAATTTAGTTACAATCTTGTCCAATCTTAGGTTGCTTCCTGCCAAGTAAAGCCACACAATTTCAAACCACATACCGATCGACACGAGCTTTGTCTCAAACTCTTCAGTGGCTTTTATAACATCTTGATACTTTTCCAACTGAAAACAAAGTAGAAGTAAATAATGCACTCCTGGAAACATCTTTGATGAATGGAGCATGGTTACAATTTACTGAACTGAACGCTATTACATTTGTCTCTACAAGCACAACATTTAATACTAAATAACAAGGTTATTGAGCTGCCATCAGTCATGAAAAAAGTTTGTAAGTCACATCTGCACATCTGTGTAAATTGAAATTGACTTCCAAGCCCTGGGGGTACTCCCTGACATGGGCTATATAGGTATGTGCGGCCCCAAAGGGTATCGTTTTTCAGCTGTTTTGGTCGTAAATAGGGTATCGATTTTAGCTGATTTTGGCCATTTTGGTCATAAATAGGGTATGGGTTTTTGCACCCTAGCCTTGATATGGGTATGTTTTTAAGAAGCCACTTTTTCATCATTATTGAAAAGAAAAACAACAAATGCCCTTCACAGATTATGTTTACAGCAATTTAACATTGGTCTGAACTGTATGGAACTAATTGTAATTCAGGTCTCAAACAGGGTTTTGATTTAAGGGTCAGGCCATAAATAGGATAGGGAATATCGCAGAGTTTGGTCATAAATAGGGTAAGGGTTTTGGGAAGTGGGCTGCACACCCCTACCCAATTTTTCTGGGAGTACCTCCCTAGGACTTCTCAGGATGGATTGGTGAGTATACCTGAGCACTTGTGTTTGGAACAGATCTTTTGAGACATTCTGTGATTATATTTTCAGAAAGATCAGGCCACACAAATTCACCTGCAACATGTCGTAATAGCACAGAGTTAACAGGCAATGTTTCCAGATAGGGCAAGCAATTAACAGAGCTAGTGTTGACAAAATTGATGAGTATGTGTTTTCATAAGCATATCCCAAGCAGGAAAATAATTATTGTGTCACTCAGTAGCATGCTGGTTCATCAAACACATGAGGGTCACTGACGTATGTTACAGTATTTAGATGTCAAGAGACTAAATCCACGGAAAAGAAAGGCTTTTCGGAACCAAGTGGCTCAAAAGGCTAGCACTTAATTTGGGGTTTCTGTAGAGATGGACACAGCAAGAAGTACTCTGCTCCCTCTTGAAGCGACGCTAAGCCATCTCAGGTTATACACCCCCAGCACTTTGTCCATCCCAAACATTTGCCGACATTACTTTAAATTCTCAACTTAGTGGGGAGAGAACATGGGACCATATGGGAACAATTGTTTTGGTATAACGTACCCAGTTTAGCAAAAAGTGCTGCAGTGGACACATTAGCTTCATTAGTTTTCCCATCTTGTTCTTTCTTTGTGCCATCAAAAAAGTTTTTCAACACAACAAGGATCTCTGAGGACTTTGTATACAGTAGGCCTGAAATTGAAAAGCAGTGTCACCACATGCACATAATGTTCTGGTTCACTGCATTCAAGTAACAATCCACAAATATAAGATTCTTGCAATGCTCCTCAAAATTATTGTAAAAAATCCTCAAGGATTTTTAGGTTCCTGCAATGAAACTGCTAAGATCCTCCAGGATCTTTGTTATGATCATTGCCAATATCTTTGTAAGATCCAGGTCTCCTTTTTTTAATGGATTGTTATCATTCAGGACTCTCTGACAGGTGCCACAAGATTCTTCACTGGAGATGCTAAAATACATAATTTACTGAATAGAACAAAGAGATCAAGTTCATCTGTACCAGGATCAATTATCTTTTTTCCACTCTCCTTTGAAAATGATACTTTGACTTCCTGTTTTCCTTGAGTAACTTGAGGTTTCAGGCTTTAAAAAGGAAAAAATGATTCAATATTAAACAAAGTTTTCTGCATTCAAATTTTTTAATGTTGTAATCTCTTTTGTAAAATCACACAGTACAGTATAATTATATGAAGGAGATCTTTCACTAAATTACATCAAGTATTCTTGTTACCTGGGAAACAGAATAATGGGCCGGAAGATAAACTGAACCAGTTTCTTTCCTTTGGAAGATAAAACAGAAGATTGTATGAGTTAAGTTTAAAATGATTACAACTACATCAAACTTTTGTAACTAAAAGGTAACTAGTCTAAGAGTGGAAAATCAACTGTTGTGGCTATTTCATGTTTTCTTTGTGTCTTTTTTTTCATTCTGTATGTTAATGTATTTTCTCACATTCTGCATGTTTTTTTTTCTCGCTTCATATGTAAATTTCTTTGCGTATGTATTTGTGTTATCCCTTCATGTTCATTTAGAGTTAGTTTATCGTCTGTTACACTTGTACCTTTTTGGTTTCCTGAACCCTGTTTCCAGCATTTGGTAAGCCATTTAGTCTATCATCTGTTTTGTATTTTCCTTCTAGTTTTCTACCATCTTCAGTTAGTTATTTTGTAGTAATTCGTTTTATGTTTATCTTTAGGAATTTATCTTCCTCCTACAGAAAGTTAATAAATTTGCTGAACTAACTAATTGGAGTTCGCTCTAAGTTACATCTGAAGTCGGCCCTCTGCCTCTTCATCAGCAATAACTAGTCTATCATTGAATAGATAAAGGCCACGAGATTGCAAAGCTTCTATGATTTTACCAAAAATTCTCAATCTTTTCTCCAAGATACCAAGTGCCTGTAACATAAAAGAAAAAAATAATAGTGAAACATCCTACAAAACTTAGAGGGAAGACAGAAGGCTAGTTGCTTTAGGAACAAGTTAAAACTCAAGGAATCACTTCTCTTCCTGGCTTACATGCAGCCCCAGTATTTTTGTCACACTGATCAGCATTTTGGTGGTTCCCTTTCACACTCCTGGTTAGATTCAGAGAGCCAGAGTGAGAGTAAAGAGTCACCCTCAAGAACAAAACACAATGACAATGACTCTTCTTGATCCAAAGTGGACCACATTCACCATTACCTTAACTTTGGATCATTTCCTATATGCGTGTATACCTTGACATCGCAATTATCAAAAGAAAGATTCCTAAATCAAACTCACTTCCATTGCTTGTAGGATATTGCTCATTGAACATCCACCTGCAAAAAAAAATATCTCTTTGTTACTAACGACAAATATCTCATTCTCAATATACATATTGTATTAAAAATCATAGTCAAGAAGACAGGTGGGGAGAAGAAAGAAAATCATGAACTTATAATTTTATTATTAATTTTATCTTCAGGTCTTGAAAATGAATTTCAAGCCTGTGATACTGACAAGAGTCATTTTTTGTGGTCAGCATTTTGTGTAACAATAGGCCATTTCCAAGTTACCTTGTGCCTCTGTTTCAAAATGGCTCCTCACGCAAAACCTTTCATATGAAATTAGTATGATTTGCATAAAAATGAACCTGTACGTGGAACAAATTGTCATATGAATGGTTTTTCTCAGAGACTCAATTTAACACAGTGGCAAAAGACAACTTGGAAATGGCCTATTGATCCAACCTGTACTTAGCTTGAGTTGTGTGTTGAGATGTCCTTGTCTGTTGTCCAGCGATACAGTAGTGGGTGTGGTCCAGGCAATACTCTTGGCCCACACTCTTTCTAGAGTTGCAATTAACTGAGCTTTTTGCCTTCTCCATTCCTCCTACAAAAAAAATGCATGCAAAACAAATTGAGCAAAGTTACAAGAAATAACACAATTGCAAAGATTGTCATGAGTGTCTTTTACCCTAAGAGCTACAAATATCCGTCCCTCTTGGCCAGCCTTGGGCAAATCAGAGAGAAGTTCTTTCTGGAAAAAAGAAATAAAAAATTGGTACTGCAGACATTTCTGTTAATTAACATATCAGTAACCAGCCTGTGAGCAGGTTCACATTTGAGGAGCACACGTGCTTCTGCACCAAACTCCTCCCCACCAGATCACTTTGCTTGCCAACCTAGTCTTCACTAGCGTGTGACTTAATTAATATAACAAAACTCTTACCACGACTTGAACAAGTTTTGCAGCATTGTAGTATGCTGCTTTGTTCAGCTCTCCTGGGAAGGCATCCAGTGCTTCATGTATCTAAAAACAGAAAATCAAACAGATGGAGTAGCAGGTCTCATCAGAGTTTTAAGTATCATAATAAAAATTAAACTTTGAATCAGAGCTCCAAAAAAGTGCCATCCAGTTGTCCAGGACAAGTAGATTCTCCTTCTGGGCAAGTAACTTTTCACTCTCACTTGCCCAATGGGCAAGGAATCAGGCAAGTCGTCTGCAAACTAAGTCATTAAAAGAGCAAACTAAGCCTTGCCCAGGACAAACAAAATTCAAGAGCTACTTGTCCCAAGGGCAAGCTGGAATTCAAGTTTTTTTTTCAAATCCTGATTATATAAAATAAATGAAGTTTACTTTCATTATCATCATCATCATTGTCGTGGTTGTCGTCGTCTTCATCCTTGTCCTCATAATCATTGTCATTATCGATATCATTATTATTATTATTATCATATGTCCTTGTTGTGCAATGGGATGCATAAGTCCTCAAAGTCTACTTTTGTTACCTTATAAAGTCTTTTGAGGAGTTCTGCGATTGCTTCAGTCTCCTTCAACTGTTTTACAAGGTCGCCATGTTCACGAGCAGCAGCTTCAAGAGGGGCTTCAACAGAGTTCTTTGAAAAAAAAATATATATTGACCACATTACTAGTACTTACTTGGGGTGTGCACAAAGAGACAGGGGAGAAATCATAGTCTTGAGTGTAGTGTAAATGAATATAAAAAGTTGGAACTCACTTTCAATTTATCAGAGACATTTTGAATTTCAGCAAGAAGATTATTGACATTCCAGTTCATTTCAAAGGTTGAGTTACTGAAATCTAAGAATTCATCAAAGGTGTATTCCTTGTAAATTGCTTGAAGGACCTCTGCCTGTAAGAAGGGAAAATACATTTGCATATCATAAAAATAGTTGAATTTAGCTTTTAAAATCGAAAAGGGGGAGGGGGAATACTAAAATAACTAGAAAAAAATCAATCATTCTTTCAAAAACAAAATAAACAAACAAATAACTAAATAAATAAATAAATAAACTGTAATCACCAGTAGCCTATAAGAACTTAGATATGAACAATTTTTTTAAAATACTTATTTTCTTTCAATTTACACTGAACTTTACAATGAAAGTTACAACTGCACGTCATATGCTAAACCGGTAGGCATATATTAAATTGAGCTAAAATGCAATTATAAATTTAATCCTCCTTGAAAAACGGAGGTAATTTCTAATGAAGGACCAAATACATACTAAAGAAAATACAAAAAAAAAAAAACCAAATCGTTATTAAAAGATATATGAGCTGCTTTCTGAGATAGAATTTAAATGAACAGTTTTGATAGGGTCAACTGACGAGCCGGCGAGATAGGGAAAATGTAACTAGCCTTCACTTCTTCAGATTTCTGTAATGTCTTCTTCACACATGAATTTATGTCTTCTTTTTCTAAACGACCAGATTTCAGGAGTACATCGGTGACCAAACTCGTACTGGGCTTACGAGTTGTAGAAACGTTGTCCTTTTCCTGATTTTCCGCCATCTTGAGCTTCGCGCCAACATAATTTCAATGGTTAGATACTTCATGTAAGACTAACGTAAAACTTCCGAGGAGGATCCGACCTGTACCGATGCTTTACGGAAATTAGCGATTTCAAATATTCATTCGGCATTGTTCGAGAGCGCGTGTTTCCCGCCGGAGTTCATAACAGAGAAGGTTTTGCGAGCGAGCTAGAGCAGTATGGAAAGTGATTTAAAACGAGCTGCTCGTCTGGAATATCTGAAACTGAGACAGTCCAAGCAATCGGAGAAAGTTGACGCTGTAAAGGTACTCCACAGAATTCAGACCGAGCTCAAAACTTACAAACATTGAACGATTGTTTATAATTTTAGGGAAATAATACAATTTTGGCTTCCCCGTTTTGAAGCTGATCGTTCAGATCATTCAATCTGTTTGGTTTAAAGCTTATTTCATTCGTGGAAAACTTGGTGAACTACCAATATAACAACATCACTTTTGATCTGTCCTTGCGTGTAGCTTGGTAACCTAACAAGATTATTAGTTTTGGCACCTGTACATATCTTTTGACAGTAATTGAATGAGAACCTAACATCCTCTTTCAGTATTTAGCCAAGTCCGGTCAGTGCGAGTATTGCTTGAAATCAGTTCAGAAATCACACCATATAATTTATTTTCAAGCAGTAGTCAGATTAATTTTGTGTTTGAACCTTCACTATTTCCTATAGAACATCCTAGCATAAAAATAATGTCATCACATGTGTGTTATTATGAACTTAACCTTATTGAAGAAACTTGCTATGACTAGTGTGTTGTTTCAACTGCAGTGTAGTAATACTACTGAAAGATTATGGCATCCAGGCTTCACATTAGTTATTTACCTTGTATAACTCAGCAAGATATGTTTTGTGCAGCTCTTTATAAACATTTTTTTGGCTTTTTCACAACCAAATCAAGATCATCATCCAGGTGATGTGGGCTCAGTTGGTTGGGTCAGAAGCATATCACCTCGACAAGGTGATATGCTTCTGGTTGGGTCCATTGCACTACCATACCATTATCTGATCAAATGGAAAAGAAGACTGTCTGCTTAGAGTGTGAAAAATAGCATATTTGACCACTCCCTGTGTATAGTTAATATTTCCTGAGCACTGAGAGAGATTGGAGATTCAACAGAAAAATTCCACACTGACAACATAGGTCTTTTAAGATCTACGAACTGCCTGTAAAAAAAAAGTTTCAATTATAGTAACTTTTTGCACCACTATAAAGTTGATTATTTATCTATGGCCTTTCAGAATTGCTTCACAGAAAATCAACAAACCATTAAAGAGTTGCTATGGAAAAGGAAACAAATACAAGGAAGTGAGAAACAGCAAGTTGTACCATACATTTCTCCAGCTGAACAACTACCGTCCACAAGAAAAGTATGTAAAGAAACTTTCGCTACATTTATTATAATTAAAGATTTAGCCAAGTCGAAAAGTGGAGCTCCTGATTACAATAAGTTAACCTGGCTTGAGCCTGCGATCCAATTGAAAACCAGTAACTGGACAGTGGTCAACTTCAAAAAACATGCAACCTCAATAAGTTCTAAACCTGAACCTGTAACATGGTCATATGATACTGGTCAGCAGATACCTTGACTTGACAGCTGTCAATTGACCATAACATGGATGACCAATATCAAAGATGTATACTGTAAACCAAGGCTGCATGCCTCAGTCAACCTATTAGCTGGAGTATGGCCGCTATGTTGCACAACACTGTTGTCGTGGACATCATCGTCATCAACGTCATCATCATGCATACATCCCCACAAGCAATTCCCCAAGTCATGATGACCATGAGAAAAACAATTCATGGGTTCCCTTTAGTCCACGGGAGCTCCACTACTAATAACCTGTTGGTCATTGGTGATTAGAATTTCTTATATACTACACTGCAAGTGGTGGCTTCTTCCATGCATGAAACTATGCAGTAAAACTAGAAATTAATTTTATAACCCACAGCAGTTCCCTAGCGTGAAAACCAATATTTGGGCTTTGCCTTTGGGCAAATTATAAAGTCCATGATTCACTACTTCAAAAAGCATTCTCACTAGCCCTCCAAAATTTCTTCTCTCACAGTACCTCAGTCTGTAATTTGCATTTCCTCAAACAATTTTGCAAGAAAATTCACTTAGCCAGTTTGTTGGGTATATACATGTAGCTGAAAGATGGAACCCACTAGCCTGACAGCAAAATCTTCTAGCAACAGGCTATTGGACAAGACTTTCTTTGCATGTTGCTCCTGTGCTTATATATGTACATATTTTTATTCCATCCAATCGTGTGACTGTGTCAGTGGTATGTAAGCTTGTCTGAAGATTTTGTGTACAATGTATCATCTGTTTCTCAGTGCTCTGCTTATAGTGGGTTTGGACATGGTACTCAACACACTGTTTTGAGGACACTTTATGCTGTTCAACCACTGCCACAGTTCTTTACATGGTCTCCTCTACAGCAAAACTACATGGTAAGTTTAATCTACAACTATTAAGTGTCAAATACTGCACTCACTACCATCTAAATGAAAGACTACATCAGGCTTCCCAACTACATGTACAGGGTTAAAACAAGGCAAATTAATTACCTAATACATGTAGTACAATTTATTTGCATATCAGGCAAGTTTTGTCAAGTTTATTAACTTTGAGCAATTGGTCTTTACAGGAAAATCTCAAACCTCAGCCTTGCTGTACTGACCTCACTAGCACTCTGTCAATACAGCAAGGTCTTGCTCTGAGATTTTCCTGTAAAGGCCTCACTCTTGGTTAATAAGTAGTTAGTTGGGTGGAAGTATAAATCATCCTAATAAAACAATGACTTAGATCTGGCGTCAATGCATAACAATGATACCTGGTATTTGGATTGATTTTATTTCCTTAGGTTGAAGATGAAACAGTCCTACATAACATTCCTTACATGGGAGAGGAAGTCTTAGACCAAGATGGATCATTCATTGAAGAACTTATCAAAAACTATGAAGGAAGAGTACACAACACTCCAGAACATGGTAAAACAGTGTTTTATCTGGCACCTTTTGCAACGTTACCAGGGATTTCGCTAAGGGTTTTCATTGAGAACTTCATAATTGCCTGGCTGTGAGGACGATTTTACCCACCTGGTTTGACCATCTCAAGGAAAGGATTTTTTTTATAAAAAAGTTCAGTTCAAAAAGTTTTGCCCGCCTGGGAAAACCAGTTACCCTCCTAATGAAAAAGTTAATGAAACCCCTTTTTTACAGTGGTGGACCTAGGGACAAGAAATGTTTCTCTATCCAGCAACCCCTTTTTTAAGCAAGAAAAGTAACATCTCCACTCTGGGCCAATCTCTTTTGATCACAGTCACTTGATTCTGATACTCATTTGTTCTCCTGGATGGAGAAAGAGTGAGAGAGAAAGAAAGAATGTGAAAGTAAAGTGTTCTGAACAAGAACTCAAAACAATTTGGTGTATGAATTGTCATTACCTGTAGAATGTGCAACTTTGAACTTTTAGCTGCTTTAATTTGGAGCTTTTGTTGCCATGACTTATAAATTCTCACTTTCAAAGACCTAAGTTGAGCCATTTTCTATTGTCATGAATGAGAACAATTTTGTTTATTTTAACATATACCTTATGGAGAACTTACATTTTGTTTTCAGTGTTTGATGAAGCAGCCCTAACAGATGATCTGTTGGTTCAGCTGGTTGAAGCCTTGAAGAAATACAAGGAGTCTGCCAAGAACAACACTGAGACTGAGGTAGCTAAAGAAAAGGACATTGGAAAAGGTGAAGGTACTGTGAGTGGAACAAAACTTTGATACATGGACTATTCTGCTCAGTCTATGTGTAAAATTAGAGAACAATACATGTACCACACAGTAAATAGAACCTTCAAGCTACTATTCATAGAGACTTTAGTCTTTTGAAGTCGTAGATCTTTTCTCGTTGTTTTCATACGGTACATGTAGATCATGCCTTTTCTGTTGAGCAGCTTTATAGGTTCCTCATCTGTTGTTTTCTAAATTCCTATACATATGATTTACTTTGGATGGCTTACACTTTGTAGAAACGTATAAGAAAGATAAATGCGTTAGTGACACAAACTACTTGAATTTTTGGCCATACACAGTGTACATGTAGCTTGTGTCTCTTAGCACATAATACCATTCATGGTATTCTGTGATTACTGAATCCTAAACATGTCACATGCTAAGTCAAAGAAAAATAGTTGGTAAACTTGGTTAAATTATCATGATTTTTATTGTGACATAGCTGCTGAGAGTTCATCAAAAGATGTTCAAGAGAAACCTGCAGAAGCAGCAGAGAAGCATGATGAGCTGTTTGACGCTATTGCATCTCTCTTTCCTGATAAAGGATTAATGGGAGCTGAAGTTCACCGCAGGTAAGTGTACATGACATTGTAATGGAGTCTTTTGGTCTTTATTTCAGATACAACTGGTTATTATTGATCCTTCCTTTATCACTTGGGATCCCTCAAAAAGAGGGAAAAAAAGACACACTAGTTGTTTTTTTTGACTCAAAAGGAAAGGGTTCTGAGTTATAAAGTGTTATGGCATGGTGTCATATGTATTTTGCAACACAAATCAGTGATTAGAAACAAGAAAAGATGGGAGAGTAGGAGTGAGGGCAAAAGAGTGCTTGTAAATGCCCTCCTCAACCTGTTACTTAATTGTTAAGTAGATTACCATTTTGAGAACAGGAGAGTTGCTGATTGTTTTAGCAACCTTGTAAGGACTGTAAGTAAATCTAGGCTGAGATCTATTCCCCCAGGATCTATCTCTTTAATTCCCTAAAATGATCAACTCTGTTGTATTATTTGCTAACTTCAGTACATTATTATCGCATAGACAGGTAACAACACACTAGTATCGTAAACATTGCTTACTAAAGCCCCAGCAACATGCCTCAAAATGCCAAATTCAAGCTAAAACGTCCATATTTTTAACCCTAATGCAGATATATCACTTTCCAGTGGGTTGCATAGTTTACTTTGTTGACACTTAATATCAATTGGATAGTGTCTTATCCAGTAGTAAAATACAATAGCTACCCTTTTGGATCATGCTACAGCCCAGTGCCATAAATATAACCATGCAGTGTTTTTCTTTTTGACTGGACAGGTATTATTGTTCTATTTCTTACAGGTATAAGAATGTGCTGGATCGCAAAAATGGTGAATTACCTCCAGAATGTACTCCAAATATTGACAGGTCAGAAGGAAAATATGTCGTCAACCCAAAGAAGCTTTCCTTTCACCATCCTTTGGTAGTTACTGACAGATTTTTTTTTTGGTATTACAAGTTTTATTGTTTATTTCTTTTGCTCTTTATTGAGTAGTCCCAAAGCCCAGTCTGTGTCAAGAGAACAGAGTTTACACTCCTTTCACATGCTGTTCTGTAGAAGATGTTACAAGTACGACTGCTTCATGCATGGTAAGCTAAGTTTGCATATCTTTAAAAATTTTAGTTCTAGAGTATGCAATGAGATTATTGTGCCTACAGGACTGGGTAAATTTACAGTGATGGCAGGTCCTTCAGTTTGTGTGAAATAATATTGTTGAGATTCTCTTTTGTTGGTGTGGTTGTAAAACGAACGCCACTACAATCTTTCCAATCTGGCCAGTTGTTGCTAACAGTACATGTTGTTTGACTGTAACTTTTTCTTTTAACTCTTTCACATTCTTGTGTATATAACATCTTTATTTCATATGTAACAAACTCTCATTTTGCGGTTCCAGAAAATATCCATATTCACCTCAAGATAGATTAACAGAAGTTCCAAGGTGGAGGGGCATTTGAAAAGCCAAAATGTTTAAAGGAAATTATGAAGCTAAACTGGAATTCCAGCAGTGGGTGGGTTGGGAGCTTTGAACTAAAAAACCTTGCACGAGAGGAGTATGGTTATTTTCTGGAACAAGACATTGGTTTAATCATGTTGATTCTTTCTTCTTTGGGTTGGTTTAGGTTGGCGAACACTTCCTACACAGATAAAACGAAAGGTACTCGGAAAACTTTACCAAATGATTGCTGATTAAACTAATTAGTCTTGCTTCATGATGCAGCACTGTGACAAATTGTACATGTTTAGTTAGTAAATAGACTAGTGTAAGCATATCACGAACTCATACAAATGAAATAATGACATTGTATTTACTTAGGATAGTATAATACTTTATCATTCGCTTAATACTTAGAGTCCTGTTGATCTGCAAGAAACAAGCCCTTGTGGAACTGACTGTTATATGCATGTTAAGGTTTGTGTAGTAAGTCTGTTAGCTTTAAACAATTGGAGTGTTCCAGGGTGGAGAGATACACTGTGAGAGTTATTTGATTTCCCTGAGAACACATCATAGTGACAACAGCTAGTGTTCAAACCCTCACAACATGATCCAGAGTCCTGCACGCTAACCATTAGGGTATCAAGCTTCCAAACACTCAAAACATGAAGTGTTCATTTTTATCATTAACACAAAGGATAATAAATTGGTGCACCAGCAAACTGTTAGTGAAACCAAGCAAAATGCTTTGAAGTTTTGAACGTTGGCATTCTTAAAATGGTACTCCACTAAATTAAGACTCATGCAGTGCTATTAACATTTATGATTATTTGAACAGAATCTACATGAAGAAGAGGCCAGTGGTAAATCATCCGAGGCCGTCAGCACCAGACGAAGAAGTCGAGCCAGCAGTAAGGATAATAAAGGAGGGAAAGGAAACTCTAAAGCGTCAGGATTTCCCAGTCCAGATGGTGCAGCGGTAAGAGATTGTACACTTAAAGAACATAATTGTGAAGTAAAAACATTACCTCATTTGTAGCTTATGGTGCCGTAGTGGCAAAATAATAAAAGAAATCAGGAACGGGTAGAAAAAAGATGCCTGCACGCATTGTCACATTGTTATGCATTACACTTATCACTAAGAAATTGCATAGAATAGAAATTGAACAGAAATTGTAAGCCTAGTGTTGTTATTGTTTCATTTTAAGACTGGCGGTAACAGTCCAGAACATTCATTCATCACCACCGAATGGACAGGAGCAGAGGCATCGCTATTCCGTGTTTTGAGACCAATCTACTGTAACAACTACTGCAGTATTGCAAACCTGATTCACTCAAAGACTTGTAAAGAGGTAAGCATTTCTGTACTGACTTCTCCTAAAAGCTTCTGAAATGTACCTTTTTTGAAGTTATATTTGGTTTATTAGATTTTGGTGAATAAGGGCTTTCATTGACATTCTCAGCAGGAGAGAAACTGGTTTTCATAGGAGGGCAAAACCTTTTGAACTGAACTTCTTTATAAAGAAAACTTTCCTCTAGATGGTCAAACCAGGCAAGCAAAACCATCCTCACAGCCAGTCAATATACCCGGTGCTCGGTCCTTATGGAAACCCCTGGTGAATCATTAACCAGTGGTTGTGGAGTATCTAGAATTGAGATCTTGATGCATTTTATTTCAGGTGTATCTGAGGGCATTACAAGAGTCACATGAGCCATTACCAACAGCTGATGATCAGGATACACCACCAAGGAAGAAGAAAAGAAAACACAGGTCTTAACTTTATTGTTGGCTACAAACTAGTGTTCATGGTTGGTGGAATTTCACGGACAAGATGAGTGCTCTTTTTCAGTGGCGGAGCCGCCAGCCTTAGCCCCAAAGCGTCCGCGGAAGAACTCATGAGCAAAATCCCGCCAGCCACGTAGGCTGGTCACAAACGAATGGAGTTTTCTTACTTTCAAAGACAACGCAGCTTTGATTGCAGTATATGTAATGATATGCCAGAGAAATTTGCAAAAGGCTTTTGAAAACGGTCAGTTTGGATTTGTGTTTGAGGAAAACTCAGGCAAGGATATCACAACGTCCAAACCAACAACAACCAAAAGATTGCTTGTACCACCATAGTGGTGCCACTTGAAAGCACCGTTACTCAGAAATTGTCGGCCTCTAATTTCATATAAAGTTTCACTGAAGTTTTGTGTTGTTTTTTCCTATTTACAGAATGTGGTCACTACACTGTAGGAAGATTCAACTGAAAAAAGGTATTGATATATTTTGTGACTGCTTATGTGATGACCAAAACCGACTTTGTTTATGAAGAATCTCCATAGTTTTACTCGGAGCTGGGAGGGTAGGGGCTCAGATAGCAGCTATCACTAGTTCTCATTTGAATGGACTGATACCTGGAAAAAACAACTGAAACAATGCCCCTAGCCACAAAACAATAACAGCTGCTTTACTGTGATGACAAATAGAAGTACAAACTTATAAGAGCTGCTACACTTATGAGGGAAGGAGTGTAGGGAGCTATGGGTTTAGTAGTTCGTCTTGTGCGATTGTCCGGGTGAGGGTAGCTCTGAAAGAAAATATTGTTGGGGACTGACGTTTTGGGTCATCTTCATAGTCAAGTGACTAGCAACAGAGGGACCTCAAACAGACCGACTTAGTTTGATTGTCGGATCGAAACTTAGTAGAACCGACCAATGACTGCTGACAAACTTTACTCATCACGGCTAAACTGACCAATCACTTTCAACGGACCAGACATATAACATCATCGACTGATAAGCACTATTCCGCCACTTGACTCTGAAGATGACTTCCGCTCAGATTGTCGATAACGTCGGTCATCAACAACAGTTCTTTTCAGGACTACCCTCACCCGGACGATCACACTATACGAACTACTGATACTCCTGGGTTCAAACCATTTACATTGGCTTTAGTGTTGGCATCGTTCATTTCTGTCCCTTTTTTGCCAAAAAAGATGATTAACTCTTTCGTTTTCTTAACTTTTCAGACAGCACCTCTACACATGTGTATAACTATATTCCGTGTGACCATCCTGGACAACCATGTGATCAATCATGTATCTGTGTGGCGACACAAAACTTCTGTGAGAAGTTCTGTCAATGCAGCACTGATTGTAAGTCGAATACTCCTTACAGGTTGCAGTAAGTTTCCTTCAATGTCGACGTGAGAATTTAGTGGTACATCAAATAGTATCCCATTATTGATAAATTTTGTTTTTCGCGTTGTACACTGTAAAACGTTTTCAACCGAATGCAGAATCCAAGAAAACCTCAAAAATGAGTTTTTCAAACACACAATTCATTTCCTCTGACTTACTTGCCCTTCATGTTTTTCCTTCTTGTTCATTGGCACAATAACTGACTGTCCCTTCCCTCCGCCAGGTCAAAACCGCTTCCCTGGCTGTCGTTGTAAAGCGCAGTGCAACACCAAACAGTGCCCATGCTTCTTAGCGGTCAGAGAATGTGACCCAGACCTCTGTCAGACATGTGGAGCCGGTAAGTTGGTGACGGGTATGCTACCTATTTGAGAAATCACTGTTTTTATTTGTTTGGGAAATTACAGGGCAATATTACTTTCCTGGAAATTCAACAAGCCCGCTCAGCTGCTGTCGGAAAAGAGCCTTCGGATTAATTTCTCCCGAAGCGTTCGTGTTTTCGTCCAATTGGCTATCTAAGATCGGAAACTGTTCGTCTTGTTAACGAAGAAGCCGAAGACTGTTTCACCGAACTAATAGAACAATCTTTACTGACGTCACTGTTTACATTTTCCCCCGTTAAAATATGACTTTTAGCAGAGAAGACATGTTACCCACAAACTGACTCCAAGCATCTAAAGAGCTAGTGAAACTTAGTAATTTGTAAAATATTTAGCTCTTCGGTACATCGAGCTCAATTCCTTGGCAGAGTTAATCGTTTTGTGCCCTTTCAATATTCAGAGCTGATTTTTTTTTTTTTTTTGAAGCTTGAGAAGAAACTGTATCGCTTATGCTAATGAGGCAAATATTTTAAAGAAAGATTCCCCTACAAGGTCAATATTATCAAGACGTGACTGCTGTAACGAAAGAAAAGACACGACTAAGTTTTTAACTTTTCTTTGTCGCTGTTTAGATACCTTTGATGGAACAACTAACATTTCCTGTCGGAATGTCGGCCTTCAACGCGGTCAGCGAAAGGTTTGTTCTTCATTGGAATGCTCAACACCTTGTCTTTGTGGTTTTGAAAGTTATTTTCAATATTTTGTTGTGTTTGTTCAGCATCTTTTGCTTGCCCCCTCTGATGTGGCTGGCTGGGGCATCTATATCAAGGTGTCTTGCAAAAAGAATGAATTCATTGGCGAATACTGTGGAGAGGTAGGACAGAAGGTTCTTTTTTACAGATTTCAATGATTTGGTAAACAGGCTATACCATGTATTGCTTTTTTTGACAGCCGTTGTCTGCCTTGTCACGCAACACCACTCAGCGTGGTGTGACAACCCAAACATACTAATGGGCACGGAGGACAAATCAAATGCGTGACAATGTTACTAAATAGAATCGTTGCTCTTCTTGTCAGTAAACAACAAAATAGAAGTCAGTCGGAATAGACAATGAAAAGTTGGGAAAGCAATCAGTCGTATTCGGCAATTTCTGTGAAGCCGAGGACTTTTCAGTTTTTGCTATCCGCCAATCAGGAAAAACACGAGCGTTTCGAAAGTTGCGTCAGCTATTCGCCATCAGGACACGTTACGTTACTTAGCAATAGTACCGAAAATTGCGGGATGAATTCGCGGAAAGTCAGATTAACAAATTGACGTCAGTTTTTCATGCGTCTGTCATGTTATTGATCATGAATTTCGTCATAATATTGTCAAAGTAGCTGTGGATCCACGAGGCGATGGCCGAGTTGGTCCGCAGATTACTTAAACAATGTTATGGCGAAATTCATAGTCAATAACAGGACATAACGCATTAAAAACTGACGTCAATTTGTTTTTTACGATAACAAATTGTCAAATTGTCCGCCCTCGCTTGCTGACGCATTGCATAAATTATAAATTCATGTGTCTGTCCGCTTATTGACAATAAAAATTAGTCAATCAGCGCGCGAGAATTTCTGCAGTTATCGTAAAATTCTCTATTGCAATTTTTTTGGGCTAGACTTTTACTGTCACGGTGCCTTACCGGTTTCTGGTCTTGTTTCTTTTGTAGATCATTTCTCAGGACGAGGCGGACCGCAGGGGAAAAGTTTACGACAAGTACATGTGCAGCTTCTTGTTCAATCTTAACAATGGTAAGGGAAATGAAACAACAACTTGAATCCGTGCTTGAATTTTAGCGGTCACTGTCGACTTTACCACTGGTATTCGTTTACCGCTACTAATTTGTTTCGTGGAAGACGATTTCTTTGCACTGTCGGTCAGTTATTCAAGTTACGCCAGTTCTGAGAGCCATTCTTTAAAAGGGCTTTAAAGAACAGCTTTATCTTTACAGTTTCGTACTTTTTCTCGTTGTATTTGCTGTGTTTTTCAGACTTTGTCGTGGACGCTACTCGTAAGGGAAACAAAATCAGGTTCGCCAATCATTCCATCAGTCCAAACTGTTACGCCAAAGGTAAGTTGAATCCCTTGGCGGTCTTATACGCAAAATTGTTAACT